ATTTAGGCCATGACAGGTCATTTCAACCTAGAAGAGAATTTCTCAGTTCTCTTAATCAGATAATGGGGGGGATAGTCTTTTATGAATCAACTTGAACTCGTCTGAACGTTCACTTATTGTGTCACTTTTCACTTCGCACAGTCAAGATATTAACAAGTAATGAGAAATACTTCGGCAAAAGTTTCCTCATAACCTTGTGTATGAGAGATGTGGGAAAAGCTTAATTCACCTTAAGCTCACTCTTACGTATTGGTGGCACCGTACGGGTCCATTTTTAATGGTAACTCGTAATATTTTTCTCATGAAAATATTATCTTCTGTGAACTGTGGAAAAACAATGTTTCTTCATGTTGGCAATAGACAAAGTGTTATTATATGACTTTTTATGGCTGATTGGTGCTCAGAGTATAGCAAAAAACTGCAGATTTTGTCGTTTTCTGTCATTTTGAAGTTATAAACACGTCTGTAACATTAATTATTGCTGAAAATAAGCTGTTCACGGCTGTTCAAGGTTATGATGTCAGACCTAGAGCAAGTCGCTTTCTCTCTCTCATTATAGCTGAAAGCTATTTTTAAATCCATAATCTGTGCTGTGGAAGCCAGTTTATGGGCCGATCCAGTTTTCTTGACAGTTTTCAACATAATCACGCTTATATTATATATGTATTTTTAAAAACAGTTAAATGTAAATTATGTGTTAAAATCTATAAGTTATTTGAACTAGCCTAAGCAGGAAAGATAAATATGAAGGTCAATTAAATCATAAAACATGAGGTAAAGAGCCTTTTAAGTGTATTAATTTATTTATTGGTTCATTTATGCATTTCTGCTTTTATTTATGTCAGTTTGGGTCCTCCATATTAACATCAAAACGTCCAGTTACATTTTGTAAAAGGAGAGAATTGTTACAAATCTCAAGGGGATAGAGATGTTTGTTAAACCCAAATTTAGACCCAGTTTGAAGGAACAAAGTAATTCATTCCAGTGTATAAGATTATAGAATAATCTGGAGGATGAGATTAAAAATGTCAGATCAATGAGTATATTTAAGAGAATAATAAAGGTTAATTTGATGGAGAAATATGTAAATGTATAACGTTTGAATTGTTGTTCAAGGGGTTAAACCTTTATTATTTTTCTTTTGTTTTTGTAATCTGATGATTATTTTTGATTGAATTTATTTATTTGAGAAAAAGTGGCAGATTTAAGATTTTTCCTTCTTCTGCTACCTTTCATTTAATTTATGATTTATATTTTTGTTGTTTGTTGAATTTATGTTGCTTTCTTAATAACAACTGCTGTCGATCAAAAATAGTAATGTCTGAATTTTTATGTAGATTTAAAGAAAGCAATCGACACAATTGATCAGAGTATTCTTCTTGACAAATTAAGTAAATATGGTATTAGAGGGTCAGCACTACAATGGGAACCCAGTTATTTGAAAGATAGGAAACAGTTTGTACAGATAAATAGTGTAAGATTTAAACTTGGTAATATCACACGTGGAGTCCCTCAGGGCTCTGTACTGGGACCTAAGTTATTATTTTATATGTAAACGACTTAGTAAATGTGTCAGGACTTTTCAAATGTGTTTTATTTGCTGACAATACAACATTTTTTTGTTTAGGTAAAGATATAGAAAAAATGTTTGAGATGGTGCAGAAAGAATTTGAGAAAATACAAAATTGGTTTAAACAAAACAAATTGTCACTAAATTTGGATAAAACAAATTATATGATATTTAGTAACAGGAAAACAAGCGTTGATTTTTCATTTAAAGTAGATGACATTGAGATCAGGAAAGTCAGTGAGGTGAAATTTCTGGGTGTCATCATGGATGACAAGCTGACATGGAGACCTCACATTCATTATTTAAGAACAAAAATATCTAAATCTAAAGGAGTACTGTTTAAAGTCAGGGAGTTGTTCAGTGACAAAGCTCTGCTTGTGTTGTACAATTCAATAATTGTTCCACATTTAATTTACTCTATTGAAGTCTGGGATAAAGCATGTAAAACAATTACAAATCCGATTTTTGTTTCACAGAAAAGAGCCGTAAGAATTATCTCTAGAAAAGATTACAACCGTCCATCAAATACATTATTTTGTAAACTGAAAATTTTGAAATTCTATGATTTGGTTGATTATAATATTTTACTGTCTATGTACAAGGCTCACAGAAAAATATTACCTTCCAACATTCAGGTAAACTTTGTTAAGAGAGACAGATGTTATTATGTAAAGAGGATGGAAATATTTATAATGCCATATTTTTGTACTTGCTTGAAAGAAAGATGTGCTTTAATTAAAGGTATAGGATTATGGAAAGGTCTGGAAGATGATCTTAAAAATGCCAAATCAATGTATATATTTAGGAGACAGAAAAAAGCAAGTTTTTTGAAGAAATATGAAAAGTAAAAGGTGAAGCTATTTGATTTTTTGTTTGAGTTTGTTTTGATGTTGTTGTTGTTGTTGTTTTTATTTTTATTTATTTATTTTTAATGTTATTTAGTATTGTTTTGTAAATTATGTTTCGTTTGAATATATTCTGGGTCAAAAAGGGGCAGACAAAAAAAGATTTATTC